GCACCATTCGAAAGACGTAGTAGCCTACGTGATCTCGGTCAATGTGATAGTGTTTTAGAAACCAGGAAGTGTCACCTTCACCATCACATCGTTCAAGTCCATAGAAGATGTAGACCAACATTTTCACAAAGTACTTGTGTCCGACAGCGTCGCTAGCAAAGCGCATCAGCGGCGAGGAAAAGTCTTCAGTTTTGACAAAGTTGTTGTCCATTATGGTGTGACTGGCGTAGAGACAGGAGGTAAAGCCCAGTGCAAACTCAATTTTGCCCATCAGCACACCAGTTGCCTCTCCGAGTGACGTTCCGTAGAGAAGCTTCAGCCAAATGAGCAAGTGAAAGGCGAGAAAGCGGTGCCAGTTGATGGTGTAGTTGTCGATGGCGTGCTCCTTGCCGATAAAGTACATAAAGGTGGTGATGACTACTGAGAAGACCGTCACCCTGACTGTGTACGTTAGCTGAGTGCTGATGAAGAAGACAGTGCTGCTGTACCAGCGATTACGGTGTTCAGAACGAAAGACGCCTACAAGAGAGTGAAAAGTGGTGGTGCCCATCAGGGCGAAAGCAAACCCGTAAAAGAGTCGATTGAAGTAGAGAAATGAAAAGTTTTCCTGTGTTTCCATTGCTTTGGAAAAACTCGGGTACGGGGAGGATGCCTGAGTGTCATTTAGGTTTCCTCTTCGAAGGCATCCATCTTTGGTGGCCATTTCTCGACTGAAAAAGAATGATATGATGGCGATGCTAAAGAGGAAGGTGATCATCTGAAGGAAGATGGCGCGAAACTGGGTGATGAAGGTCAGTTTCAGCTGGCGGTGCAGTAAAACAAACTGGTCACTGAACGAATATGACTTGTAGTTAGACGGCAATGTCTTTCTTTCCAGCGACGGGACTTGAGATTGAATTTTGAGAAGCTCAGACGATAAAGTCTGCTTAACAAGTGCTGAAGTGGAAGGGGAAACATTTTGAAAGTCATCACAAGCATAGTGAATCAAAGTTTCGACGGCGTTTTTCTGAGTATCGTAGTTGGGCAGTGTTTGGCAGAGAAATGCAGTCAACTGCGATGGTGGGCCCGAGTACACCGGGACTCCGCCTTTAGCTAGAACATACAGTTGACTGAAGCACTCTAGCAGTTCATCACTGGGAGCGTGAATTGAGACGATGATGGACAGTTGAGAATAGGCTGATGCCAGCAGGGACAGACATCGAATGACCTCAAGAGCAGCGTAGCTGTCGAGTCCTGTTTTAAAACCACAACAAAAAGAGAGATTTACTCAACTGAGCAGGTTTAGGTTGTTGCAGCCAACTCACCAGTTGTTAGCTCGTCACAAAAGATAAAGTCAGGTGGCCGAAGACCCATCAGCTCCTGTCCGATTACCACTCGCTTCTGTTCACCTCCGCTAAGGTGGCGGAACTGCCGCCCAAGTACTTCTGGCTTGAGGAGCAACTTGCTGATGACCGAGTCAATTTGAGTTTGTAATTGCTGATTCGACCCACTGGTGATGCCGTTTTTGAATTGAAATGCATAAACTAGTGCTTCTTTTACGGTTAGCTCGCCGTGAATCGCATTTTGGACGTCCTGTTCGATGAAGTACGACACTGGCTGGTGGTGAGAGGTAGGGCGAATGAAGATTTCAGACTCTGCAGAGAATCCATTTGGATCCAAACCGCTTAGGGCTTTTAGAAGAGTCGTTTTGCCCTATTTAAACACAAAATGTTAGCATTCAGATTGAGGTAAAGTAAAATCAAACCGTACACTTCCACTTGGGCCTGCCAATGCGTTGAGTGAATGACTGTGAAAACTGCCATGAATATCATTCAGAATGGTCTGCTGACGGCCAAAATGCTTCCAATCTGTAAGAATCGTTTTGTGAACGCTGAGATGCCGCCAGGCAAGGGAGATATTTGAATCAGAGTTCATTTTTGCAGCAAATTAGCTTAGCACAACAGCACCAGTGTCTATTAAAAGCAAAACCGACACAATGATTTTTTCTCTACCGGCCCGCTTTTAAGGGTAGATATGTTTTGCTAAAATCAGCAAATAAAAAAGTGAATCAAACTATGTACAGCGCGAACAACCACCGATAAGCAGTGTGTGCTTATCGGCTAAAAGAGGGATCAATTTTGTGCGTTTGTCTCTCTAGTTTGTCCCTCACTATTTTTCCTGCGAAATCTGTCAGTTGCACATGTACTGCCAAGGTTGAAAAACGAAGGCATTCAACTGACTAAAAGTTTATTTACAGTGCAACTCTCTCCTGTTTTTTTCTGTTGAGGGTGAATTAATTAACAAACGAAGAACTTTACACTTTACATCTTCAAGAAACTTGTTTTTTATTTTTTTTCTAGAAAAACCTACAACTCGTTTTTAGGAGAAAAAATACACAATCAACCATTTTGCCGCAAACAAAAGAGGCACAAACATCCGCTGAGAAAAGTTTTTCAGCATTTACGGACTTCGAACTAGGAAGCCACTCATTTCCTGAAAACGTTTTTAAAAACTGATAAAAAAAGTACAATTTACGTGAAATGCATGACAGAGAGGGAGAGGAAAAGTTTACCAGGCGGAAAATACTGCAATGTGTGTACAGTGTTAAAACTGAAACTGTTTTCAAAAATATTAACAAAGTGTTACAAGTAAAATTACAATAATAGCAAATTTTGTTGCAACAGCGCCTTCCTTCCGCCTGCTTTAGTGCGAAGAAGAGGAGGTCTTGCTGCCTGATCGGCTGCCACCGGCAGAGCTGGAGTGGCCTCCAGAAGAGGAGCCTCCTCCTCCTCCAGCTGAGGAAGAGGAGTGGCCCGAGCTGGCGGAGAGGATGGACTTGTGCGAAACGGAAACAGGCTTCCCCGACTCGGCCGACTCCTCCTTTGCTGAGTTGACCGAGGCCTGTGACTCGGTCTTTGAGCCGCTCTCAGCGACGGAGCCGCCCTCGTTGCCGGTGGCCGCGTCGGAGAGGCTTTCCTCGGTAGCGCCGCTGGACGCCGAAGAGGAAGAGGAGCCAGCTGAAGAGGACGAGGAGCCAGAGCCGGCCGAGGAGGCGGAGGAGCTTCCAGAGCCGGCTGAAGATGAGCTGCCCGACGAGGCGGCGGAGGACGATCCACTGTGCGAAGCAGAGGACCCACTGCGCGAGGCCGAGGAGCCTGAAGATGCAGAAGATGAGGAGCTGCTTCGAGAGGCAGAAGCCGCCGAACTGCTGCCACCTTTCGACGATCCAGAGGCGGCAGTGGAGGACTTGGAGGCCTTCGGAGGGCCGGCGCCGGCCGAGGACGAATGAGCGGAACCGGTCTTTGAGCCGGAACGGGCCTTACTGGAGGCGCTGCTGCCGGCGGCGCTGCCGCTGCTGCTGGGCGGGTTGNATCGGCGCCCTCGAACAGCTCCGGGTGGTGCTTCGGGTCGACCGTCTTCTTCAGCGCCTTCTCGCTGATCTTCGCGTCGGGGGCGGAGAAGTAGGGCGACTTGAGCAGCTCGTCCACCGTGGCGCGACGCTTCGGGTCGATCCAGAAGACCTGGTTGCAGGCAATGCGCAGCAGGCGGTTCATCTCGTGCACGGTGACGAACTGACGCCACTGGGCGGAGATCTTGAAGGGCGCAGAGACGTCGAAGGGCAGGCGGACCGTCTCCATGGCCACCATCAGCACGCCGATGGACCAGATGTCGACCTAATTGTTGACAAAATGGAATGGGATGAGTTTAGAAAAGATGACACACAGAGAGATAAGAGAGACTTTTACCTTTGAGGGGTCGTAGGCGCTTCGGCGGAAGCAGTCCGGCGGCAAGTGCGAGTTGGCCCGAGCGCGGCGCTCCGGCTTCTGGAGAAGGGCGTGGCCGCCGTCGGCGGGGTCCCAGTAGATGACCGACTTTGACCAGCCGGTGATCTTCACCTGGTCGCTGGCGGTGAAGAGCACCTGGTGGACGGTGAGCTGGCGGTGGGCGACGCCGACGTCCTGCAGCTTGTGGATGGCCTGCAGCAGCTGAATGGTCCACTTGCGGTGCTGCACCGCCGTGGTGGGCTCCTTGTCGACGATGCGATTGTACAGCGACTTGCCGCTGATGTGCTCCATGAAGGTGTAGATGTCGCTGTTCAGCTGGAAGATCTCGTAGACCTTGGTGAAGTAGGGCGATTTGAGGGTGCCCGCATCGTCGGCACCGCCGTTGTAGCGGAGGACGCGCAGAGCGGTGGAGAGCAGATTGGCCTTGTAGCGGCCGGAGCACTTCTTCAGGTCGGTCTTCTTCGCCAGAATCGGCTTCTGCTCTTTGGTGGTGGTGGCGGAGTAGAACTCGTCCATGCCGCTGACGATGATCTTGTCCTTGATCTTGAAGCCGGCCGCCTCGATCTCCGCCATGGAACTGACCTTCTTAGCGCCCTTCGCCTTGGCGAGATCCTTCACGTCGCCCGCCTTGTTGGGCACGTTCATGGTGCAGGCGGTGGTGATGTGCTCGTCCTTTGCTGAGGGCGCCGCAGCGGAGGCCACGGCGGCGGAGGCGGCAGCCTTGCTCGGAGAGGCCTTACTCGAGTGGTGCGATTTGCTGGTGCCGAGGCTGGTCTTTGACTTGCTGCGAGCCTTTGAGCCGGTCTTTGAGGCCGACTTGCCCGAGGACTTGGCCGACGAGGCGCTCTTGCTCTTTTTGGAGCCACCGGTTGAAGAGCCGCCGGCCGAAGAGCTGCCGCCCTTTGAGCTGGAGCCAGCAGCAGAGGAGGAGGAGCCGCCAGCTGAAGAACCAGATGAGCTGCTGCCCTTTGAGCTGGAGCCAGCCGCAGAGGACGAGCCGCCAGCTGAAGATCCAGATGAGCTGCCGCCCTTAGAGCTGGAGCTTCCACCGGCGGACGAGCCACCTGCAGATGAGCTGCCTCCTTTGGAGCTGCTGGCCG